GACGGAGTTATCCAGTCAGGGTATCAGGGAGTTCATCACAGGGAGTTCTAACAAAACAAAAAAAACAGTGTGATGTGCTGGAATTACACATAAGCACTGTGCCTGGGAACACACACCAGCAGCTGTGAATTGCAGTGCAGCTGCTGGTGTGAATGCAGCCTAAATGGCGGACTGCGGTACAGACACGGTGACCATTCTGGCTGGGCTGTGATTTGGACCTCTGATTGAAGAAAATTTTACTCAGCAGACCTCCTTGAATTTTAATTCACTACCCCTGCTATAGATAGTTGCACTTTCCACATCATGGTTGAGCATTTGATACTCAGGCATTCTGCAGGCAATACTGCATATACAGTATATCTGCAAATTCTTATACCGGATGCACACCGTTCTCCAAATCTTCTCTCTTCTGTGCTTCTATTCAAGGCTAATAATTCCAAGACTTCAACCTGTTTTAAACCTTTCAAACCCAAAAGGACAAAATATCCATTTATCACTGGACTTGAGAGCCGTACCGAGCTTCCCCTTTCTTTATAAGGCTCATTTTCTACAAGAGTCAAAGCTGACATCCCTGCCAATGAGTTATATGTCAGAATATTAAATATACATGCAGCTGAGGAATTTATGTATTGCCATGAAATATACATGGGCAGTGGGAAGAAATGTCCTGAACCATTACCAAGATTATCAGAATAATAGTCCTAAAAGCATCCACATTATCCAGGCTGACACATCGCATCATGAGTACACAGCAAATGTCACACACTGCATAAGCTCAGTTATCACTATTAAAATCATATGGTAAGGCAGGGGTGGGCAACTATGGCCCGCGGCTGTTGTGGTACTACAAGTCCCATGAGGCATTGCAAGGCTGACGGAAATGGGCATGACTCCCAGAGGCAGAGGCATGTTGGGATTTGTAGTTAAAGCACAGCTGGAGGGCCATAGTTGCCCACCCCTGCAGTAAGGCAATGGAAAGAACACTGATGATGTGCAAAGTGGAGTGGCCCTAAACTGCCAATAAGAAATCATCTTGCAGCCAATCATAAATCATCTTTCAGCTGATCTGACTAGAATTGTCACTACCAAAGTAACACATTGGAATTGGTTTGACCTGTAAGAGCGTTAAAGTGTATTTCTATTTTGGAGCCAAATTGGGAAAACACCAATTTTATATTTGTTACATGTTCCCATTCACATAGCACAAGGTAAACAAATATAAAAAAATGCTTCTTGCATTTGAAATTGCTTTTACTTGGGTTAGGGGGTTAAAATCCTATGTGCTACTCCCTACGTGCTACTCTTTCTTTTGTAATGCTGGGTGGGGCTGTGAGGGGTTAAAGGATTACAACCCTGGCTTCTCCATTGTATGTTAATGAAGTTAAAGTGGCACTAAAGTCAAAGTTTGTTTCCCCCTTCCCAATCCTGCTGTAGGGACTTACCTTAAATGATGTTTCTTAATCCAATCTTCTTCTTCTTCCTTACTGTCCTTTTCAGCTGTCCCTCCAGCGGTAGTACGTGTCTCCGATTATGAAAATTATGCATGATGTCATTATCGATCTTTCCTTCTGAAAATGCTACTTGCCTGGCCAATTAATCTGATCCAGTACTATTGGTACTATTCAATACTAAGCAGTACTAGACCATAAAAACTGAAATAAAATTGCTGTACATACAATGTAATTTCCAATTTGACACTTCTTCCCATAGTATTTATGGTGAGGTATGTTCACTTTCTTTGTCACGTGAGTGGGATTGATATGATAACTGTCAGTTTACCTAAAAATACACTTCTTCTTCCTAAGACTACTGTAACCTGCACTGTCTACAACCCATAGTTGCAGTCAGGTGAAGCGACGCTTGCAGCCATTTTGTTCTATAGCCACAGGTCGCCATGTTTGTATATCTTTCACATTGCTGTCATCAAAATCTGAAATTGGGCAAACTAAGGTGCCACGAAAAGGCCATTACATATAATACAAGTAATAAAGGTTAACCTATGTTTTAAATGCTTGATTCATCCAAAACAATTGCTCTAGCTATTGCAGAAGCTAGTGGTTTTAACCTGCGTTTCCCAGCCATTTTACAGTCATGGAACCATTTAACTCTTTTGCTGCCAAGTCCTCTGGAACATTTTTAACCTCAGCTGACCATAGGGTGCAAACCTTTATATATGTTTACAAAAACAAAATCATGCATTAAAACAGGGATGTACAAATCCCAGGAGCTCCTTGTGCTCCTTACAAATGACAGCTGCCTCTTAACTTTTGAATTTTTCTCTAGTCTAGTCTTAGAGCTGGAAAAGTATATGTACTTGTACCGAGTCCGGTACTTGGTATAGGTGCATCCCTAGATAAAAGTATGCAAATTCTCAAGTGGCCCCAGTCTAAAATGTAAATACCGTAGATGTAAAGAACAACAAGTGGTCCTTCCAAAATCCATACCAAACCCTTATGTGAGATCTGGGTCTGGTATGGATTTTAACGAGGGGGACCCCCAAGCAAAAACAAAAAAAAGTGGGATTCCCCCTTTACATCCCTTTAACATTAGTGTACAGTCCCCCTTTCACACTAGAAGCCCCCCTTTCACATCAGAGTTCCCCTATTTGCCCCCCTTCCTCACATCAGAGGCATTACTTTGTGTGAAAATGTAGAGGAAATCAGAAGGCACACCAGGGTGCCACGGCACCCAGGTTGAGAAAGGCTGGGTTAAACAGCCCGAAAAATAAACCACAAAAATACCAGTCTCACACTCCCTGTTTAATTATTTATTTTACATTATTTTAGTTCACCATAGCAGAATAAAATAAAGTTTACATTTTTTTTAATTTAAAAAACGTACAATTAAATGGTCTCACCTGCACTCCAGCATTCGATGGGCAGTGGGGGTCTGCTTAAAGGAGAACTGTGAATTGTTCTGGACTTTTTTGCATGCACTACAAAGTGCTGAAACCATTTGATATGATTACAAGGGCCACAGTATTGAAAACAATACACTCATGTACACCTTTTGTGACTACTACACTACAAAGTGCTCATTATATGTCTCAACATCTTTCAGGTTTATAAGTCGCAACTTACAGATAAAAGTTGGTATTTGCATACAACATGTGCCTCCCAGAGGTAAGGAGGGTTCCAGGTAGCCAAACAGAGGTATTATGCCTGCTATTTCATAACAGTGCAGGCTCTTCAGCTTTTTCTCCAGGAGAAGTTGATATACATTTCCATTATATCCTATCTTTTTTATATTTTAGAATGTAAAACTCCTCTCCTGAATTTTTTTGCCCTACACCACTCTACACCATGCATTACAAGTAGCTACAGTCAGTCTAGGTTGATTTCAACAACTCTATTGTGTGTCAAGAGATCACCAATGGTAAGTAAAATCTGGAGTACTGTAGGGGTTCAGAAGTACACAACAAAAATAATAATGGGGGGGGGGGGATTTATTATATAAATAAAAGCTCAAAAACATGCAAGAAATATTTGCTTCTAGGGTAGATATCAATGGTATGTGAATATACATTGGGTGCCTACTTTTCTTCTGGCAGTTTAGAGACACATGTAAAAATAATAATGGGGGGGGGGGGATTTATTATATAAATAAAAGCTCAAAAACATGCAAGAAATATTTGCTTCTAGGGTAGATATCAATGGTATGTGAATATACATTGGGTGCCTACTTTTCTTCTGGCAGTTTAGAGACACATGTTCACTTTGAAGTGGATTGTTCAGTAACTTTACAAGTCTTTCAGAATGCATTCAAAACATGTCACAATATGCAGCAACAGTAGATAAACTGTACCTATAATTATTAAAAAGTAGTTCTTGAGATCAAGAAGGCTTCTGTGTCTATGCACAGTATATTATAGTCTACCCGAGGACAACATAGTGTAAAAATGATGTAATCTAAATATGCTGAAGGCACTATGAAGCATTTTCTTAACCTTCCCTTATCCAGTAATCACTGGCTGGTAACAAGGTGAGAGGGAGCTAATATGTGTGAGGCTGTCAGGGATTGGTTGGTCACAGTGTGAGAAGGAGAATAAGACTAAATTGTGTATGAGTGATGGATTTTTTTTTACATAGGTTGGTCAAAGATTAAAGTAGAGCTGAAGCCAAAGCTTTGCATTTAATCTTGGATAGAGTATTGGAAGATTATAACTTCTGTCAGTTTTATTTGCTATCTCTGCCCGAATGGAGAGATTTTCCTTCACTTCACTTCCTGTCCAAAAGCCAAAACAGGAAGTGAGAGGCAATCCCTCAGAACAGAGGGGACTCCCTGGTGGTTAGCAGGATCACCAGAAGTATTGTCCCCACTGGAACATTTCCTTTCACTTTCAGTGATAATGATAACTATGACAAATATAGGGGGTGAGTTTCCCTAACGGGGACACTGACAGCAAAAACACCTGAAAGGTCTTCTAATCTCTATCCACTCTATCCAAAACTAAAAACATTTTCAGCTTCAGTTGTACTTTACGTTTGAGGGACTTAGTTGTGTTAGGGACCAAGTAGATTAAAACGTAAAAGTTGGTCTTCAAACACCGAGACTAGGTAACCCCAAGGCCAATGTCTTAGTCCAGGACGCATATGCTGACCCTAGGTGATGCCTGAACAAGGATCATCCATTCTTGGGAGGAAGGAAGACTCGTAGCTTTCAAAGTAGGCTTCTCTTTCTCTCAGTAGTTGTAAGGATCAGTGGGGTAAGAAAGGAAAAAATAGCTATGTGCTGCTGGGAAAGTGGAATAAAGTGAACCCGTTGACTTAAAAAACGAATATCTGATGCTAGGTCAGAGTAAAGCAAACACTGGTCACTTCTTCTAATTGTGAGAAGATATATACAGCATGAAAAGTCCTGCTAGAGGCAAAGTTATACCGTATACATTACCTACATATGTGCGCAAAGTAAGCTGAAGTGCAGCAATCTGACAGGTGCCCAGGAAAACACTAACATTCCATAACAGATTAATTATAGAAGTAAAGTTGACAGTTTCTAACCTCTTGTTCTGCCTCACAGCTCTGTCACCCTTCATCCAGGAGATGGCTGGCTTGGGAGATGCCTGTGGTTTACACTCCATAATGACTTCCTTGCCCTTGGTGATGATTATTGTTTTTTGCCGTTGGTTGAGCTCGAACGAGGGAGCGGATGCTGTTAAACGAAAACACATATGAAAATAACAATCACAGATCTGAATCACAATAAATCCCCCACTGTTCTTCCGTGCATTGCCGTGTTGTGCCTTTATAGAATGTTTATGCAAAGACAGCTCTCTTTTTTTTTTTAGGAGCTTTCAAAGAGCAGCACAAAGCAGTCTTTATGTATTTTGTTCTGAGACCTGAAATCAAACGCAAAGGTTATCTGGAAAAGAAGCGTTTTCTCTGTGTGTTTGCAAACGAAAGAAGATGTACTAGGCATGAAGCTTTCATCACAAGCTCATTTCAGCGTGGATGGGTACTGTTTACCAATAAAATGTTGGATGTTTTTGGCAATTATATGACTCTGCATGTATACAAAGAAAACAAGAGTTCTGTGGGTTATCTACCTTTCAGCAAGTTTGGGCTTCCTCTAGGTACTGGTATGCTGTTGATTCAGGAACAGAGCTTGCCAAGCAGCCAATCAGTGTTATGCTTGCACACAGATCCTGCCCTGCTGGAGCCACACACTGTGCTGGGACAGGATTTGGGGACAGCCCACAGTAAACCCAAACTTGCTAAAAGTCTATCTAAATACAAACATTATATATAATATATTGCTGCTTAGTAGTCCTTAGATGTAGTTGCTGCATTATTTTTATTTTAGGCTTTATTTGCTTTATTTTTACATGGTGGTAATCCAGTGAACAACACATTTCCTGCCCTGGATGATGACCACACTCATATCTACAGTTTATCTATAATGAAAGACATTGTTGCCACCCAGGCTGGACTTCTGTCTTTTTCTATCTCCACTATATGGCAGATACAAGGACATTGCATTTCTGGCAACATCAACAGGTATTTTTTGCACTTGCTGAAAATGTTTAAAGTCTGAAATATGACATTTTTTGCAGCCACCACATCTAGAGGCTGGTAAGCTGCAATATATTACATGTTTGTTTTTGGTTTTAGATTTCCTTTACGTATTCCACAAGTCTTTTTCTAAATTTACAGATAGAAGCAGGAAAAGGAAAGTAGCTAGATTCCAGGGTTTAAGTCTTTTATAAGAATCTTTCTGCTAATAAAGGGACACTCAGTAAACCTTTGGTGACTGCACGCTTAAAGGAGAATTATAGGATCAGTGCTTTTCCCCACAGTTCTCCTAAGAGTCACGGGAGGACATAAACTAGCATCCTCCCATGACCCAAAGCTCAGTATACTGCAAGCTACAGCTTGCGATATACTGAGACTGCCGCAGCCGGGAGGGATCCCAACATTACTGTCGAGATCCACCCAGCTGCGTGATTGACAGCTGGCTCTGCCTATCTAGAGGCAGAGCCAGCTGTACCCGCCCCCTCACCCATCCGGTCCGCCAGTCAGCGCTGGAGGATCGGAGCGGGGAGGGGGGGGAAATCCCTGCAGGGAGCCGTGAGTGACAGTCACGGCTCTCTGCAGAGACAGAATCGAGAAGTGAGCGACGGTATGTGTTCACTCACTTCCTGATCTATTGAGCCGACGTAGTTCTAGAGTACCTGCTCTCCAATTTAAACATTTACCTCTTAAGGTTCTACCAGATGTATATACCACAATAGGTCAGTAAGGGTCTTTCGACAGGTAAACTTCTTCTGTGCTTCTCGCTATGATTTAGTGTCAGTTTGTTACTGGACTGAACTCTCCCTGAATTCATGGGTAAGCCTATAAACTACTTTTCCACTGTCCAGTGAGACTGCCTTAGTGGCCATAAGGACAGCATTAATGAAAATGAAAGTGGTGGAGCTTATCCATGATCTCAGGTAAGTTAAAGTTCAGTAACAAAGTGACATTATATCAGAGAGGAACACAAAAGATGTTTTTTTCCAGCCAATAAAGGCAATAGCATACATCTTTTGGTGTATACTCAAAGGCAGGACATTTAAATTTAAAAGTTTAAATGGCGTTAAATCAACTAAAAATGAAGATGAAATTATCTTCAGATGACCAATGTCGCCAGACTTACCCAGAACTTTAAGCTCAGCGCTTCCATAGATGATTCCATAGATGTTTTCCGCCAGACATTGGTACATCCCAGCATCTGATTGACTAATATTGTGAATTGTCAACATGCCGTTAACCATTTCAAGTCTGTTCTGTAATAGATATTTCAAATGGTGTATAAGAAACATGTTTTTGGCTAATTGGATCATTATAATACTATGTACACATGTAGTATTCATGCTAATGTATGCATTTCATAAAACTCAATTGCCCCTCATTTAAGAATGATGCAGGGGTAAATGTATGAATAAAAAAAACATTTTGCAGTCCCTACTTTCAATAAATGAAGCTCCCTTCAACATAACTATATGTACTAAGTGTTATCTTTGTGGAGCTCCGGCCCTTCCATTAAAGTTTTTCCCACTTTTTGATGATATGTCAGAGCAAATGCAAAAGGCTTTTTCATCATGACATACATACAGGGCGTGTGTAGGGGCTTATACGTCACATGTTCACACCAGTACCTCAATTCTCAAAAGTTGAAGGACTTTCTTTAAATAATGTGGGATTAGGTAAGGTTTTGTTTTGATGGGAATATAAAGTTCACTGTTTGCTGAAATAAGTAAATGTAGAGCTATGTTTGACATTTAAAGTCACTCCTGATATCTTCATAAAAACATGCAGGTGTTAAGAATACACTCAAGCCTTGTAATATAAACGGTGGAATTGCACAACGTTTTTCTAGATTTCTGCTTTATATTTGTTTTATACATGCATCCTAAAATACAAAATGTATGTTAAAACAGACCTTAGGTTTACTACATAATAGGGAACATCTAGAAACGTTAATTGTGCCTAAGAAGTACCCTGAAAGATGTACCTTTTGTTTGAAATGCCTTCTTTGAAATATCAGTGCACTTCCTGACATAAAACTGTACCTAGACACTCCTGTGCCTACAGCCTCCTAGCAGTATACATGCAGTGTGAGCTCTAAGGAACTGCCGTCTCTGACTACTAGTCTCAGGAGATTTGGGTTAAGATGAATTACTTCTCACTGTTCTCTTCGCTGGAGAGAAAACTGTACCTGATTATATGCAGTGTAAGGATCTACCTGCTTTTGCTTCATGTATTCTGTGGATCTGTATTTTTTTTCCTCATCCTCTACTCCTATCTCTTGAATATTACAACAATTCTGACATTATAAAGCAAATCACTGCCTCTGTCAAGATGGCTGTCTCCACATAGAAAAACACTGCAGAAGAAGGCATGGTAAGTCAGTCATAGTGAAAAGAGCAGCTGCAGGGAGACAACAAGCCATACTGATGACTAGCCCCTTGCCCTTTGACTGCCTTTTGTGAACACAGCTTCCACAGTACAGGTCATCTTTAAAGTAATCCTTCTATAATGTCTTGTTGCTTGATGGTTAGCCTGGCTTACTGCCTTCAATACATCCTAAGCCCCTGACCTAAAACTGCTATGCATATCACAAAAGCTTGAGAGAAAGTAAAAAATAATTTTCTACATACTTGTATTGGATTAATAACTAATAATGTTAAAGCCAGGGGGTCAGCATGACAGCTAGAGCATTTTACACAATAAATGGTCAGCAATGGCGGGCTCAATGTTTCTCTTATGGAAGTTTTAATATATAAAATATAGCATAATATACTATAATTTGTGTGCTTTAATAAGCTTGAAACATGTATACTGGTAAATGTCAACTCTGAATTAGGTGTGTGACATTTATACAACATATAGTTATTCAGGTGTGCATCTGTTCTTCCAAGAACTCCTAACTTTTTTTCAGTAATTAGTTCCTCTGGGCTTTAGTTATCACCAATACCTAAATGACGCTCATTCCTTCCATATAAAACCACAGTTCTTGTTGTCTCTAGTTGACCATGTTGCCATGTTTGCCTCTGTTACCTCTAAAATGATTTAGTGCTCATTAGCGTGTTTTTCTTGACATGTCAGTCCAATCAACTTTTGTTACAGATTGTTCCAAACATCCTTGTATATGAGCCATAACTGGCCCAAATATGATCAGGGATGCAGAAGAACAGGAGGTGTGTTGAATGTCTGTATTGTATTTTGTTTAACCATAGGTGTTTATGATAAAATCTGCTAGAAATTTGACCTTTCGAAGTGAAATAAGAGTTGAGCTGTCTGCTCTAATCATTAAGTATGGCGACTTATAGCCCAGTCACTTACTGCAGTTAGCGATAAATCAAAGTGCCCTCTGATACTTCCATGGCTGGGAAAGACCCTTCCAGATTACCATGGATCACCAGAAGGACAGTTTAAACGTAACAACTCCTTTCAAGGGGGCTTTATAATTAGATCAAAAATGAATATCCCATTCTAAATTAAAGTCCCGCTACAGGTTCTCTGCCCCCACCTTTATTGTTTGCAGAAAGTTTTGTATACATATATTTTTTCTTGAGTCTTTGGTCACATGACATCATTGGTGCTCTTCCTCCTCCTTGGGTCCTGAATGCTGTAGAGAACAATGCCACATAATCACATGGCGCCATTCTCTACAGCAATCTCCTGAAAGCCTGGTGCAGACTGATAATGTACTCAGAGGACGCAGGCTAGTAGTAGTTAGTCACAATCACCTGGACTTGTTCTGTACATTTCATAGCTTATCCGAACAACTTATTCAGTTCTAATAAGTGTCAGGAACATACCCTAGCATTTATATCTACACAGGAAGCCCAGACACAATAATCCAATCACCAAGGAAATTTGTCCAAGAACAGTATGGGATGTGTGGCAGTTGGGGACCACCATGTTCAAGTTACACAATCCTGTGCTTGGTGTAAGGAATTCGTTTTTTTTCCCCAAAAAATACATACAGAGCACACCCAAAATGTGAACGACATTAAAAGTTTTAACACGACCAGCAGACCAGGATCTCTTCTGGCAATGGGTTGACTTACTGGATACCATACTGAATCAGAATCAAAACTAAAAATAAACATAGGTATTTTTTTAATACATTTCCAAAACTTCACAAACAAATGGACTGCAAAATATATTACATTGATATAATATTTTTCATAAATGGTGCTTTCATACTGTAAGCATAGGAATACGTGAGCTGCCTTTGAGGCTCTGGTATGGGGGTTAAATTCTATGTAAAATCAAAACTGTTTTTGTTTTAGCTTTGGATAAAGTGAGGAAGGGTTAGACTACCTGGTAGATTTTTACCGCTGTTTGTGTCTCTGCTGGGGGCATTCACCCTCTTTATGTGTCCTGGGCCCCACTGCTACAGAGAGAGAAAATGCACAATTTTGAGGGCCCAAGATTAGAAAAGAAGTCCCTTTATCTACTAAGAGCGAATTCCTTTTCACTTTGAAGACATTTTGTTTTTTGCTTCTTGTTTGCTTCCAGGGAAGAAAGCAAAGGGAGATCTTCTCAACGGAAGAAAGAAGGCAAAAAAACTTAAAAACTCTTAAAATCCATCTGTGGACAAACCAAAAAAACTACCCTTCGCATGGGGCTACCCTGCACTGCAAGGGTTAAGTGCTTGTTTATGCCTAGGGGAAAGGAAAAAGCTATGCTACTTCTGTTCCTAGCTCTTGCAGGCTCCCTCCAGGCTGCTATACTGGTCCCTGCATCCTCTTCTCCCCTTCGCTCTGGTGGTCTAAGGACTGTCATCACATCTAATGTAGGTTCCACTGACCTACATAATAAGTGAGGACGCTGAGAGACAGTCCATAGCCAGAGTGGAGGGGAGAGTGGTGAGCGATGAACACCACAGGAGTGGGGATCAGCTAAATAAAAGTGCTTTACTCCTGTCCTGGATCACTAGAGACCCAGACTGCTAAACTATGTGTGGAGCAGCAAACCAGATCACCAACATGCTGCCAAGAAAGAAGAATTTTAACCCTAACTTTAGCACAACAGTACAGTAAAATATAAAAAATATGGTCAGATTTAAATATAACTGTTTAAGCCTGACTGCATTATAGTAATAAAGAAAGGAAGATTAAATTCTGCTTTAAGAAACATGTCAGGAATACAAGCGCACACATTTATATTCTCCCAAATCTAATTTACCAGGAACATCACCGGATGTGTGTTAGCAGGCATGGTACAGAGGTGAGGACATCTCTTTTTCTTTCAAACTGGAATGCAATTGGTTGCAATGGGTATCTGCTCTTTGTCTACCTTTTAAACCAGTCCTGTATTTTGGATTCAAAATAAAGTGACAGCTTTGCAGAGACTGGTGGGCACGCTTGACACTTCCATCCATAATACCATTTTATTGGCAGGCATACAGCAAAAGTAGTGAGAATCTTTAATTAACCTGCTCACACAGTACCTGGGGTAGCAAGGGGAGCCCATTCTTAAGCCAGCGATATATGGGCCTTGGCTTTCCAGATGCTTTGCATTCCCAGTGGACCTGATCTCCACTGTCTAACTGCGTATCATTAATCTTCTCGATCCACTGTGGCTGGGCTGTTACAGGGAAGAAAAAGTAAAGTTATGTTTTAATGAAGCGCACAGAAAATAAAAACACATGATCCGTTATTAATTGGGACAAACAATTAGGAACACAGAAAGTGACATTGCGCTAAAGTAAATAGCGGAAACAGTCTCCGTCAAGGATTATCGGAGAATTTGTTTGCTTTTTTTTTTTTTTATAAAGCAACAGATAAGAGTAACCAAGAAGATATGAGCTTTATGTTCTGGCCAGTGGTTTCTGATTTCCCCAGGCCATCTTAACGCCTCATCCAATTTAAAGGAAACCTGTTGTTAAGTTTTAGTTGTCAAACTTATCTGAGCAGTAGGCCGCATCAGATGTCAATCAGAATACTTTACTTGTCAGAACGTTGAGACTGAATACACTGAAAATGGGGCATTCACAGCAAGCTGCCCAGTAAGGACAGTGGTTGTAGCAATCACAGCTATGACCAGGTCCCAGGGAGGTTAAGCTGAAAACTCCTATTTATATTTATTATAGGTATTGATATAGTCACTGACAACCTGCACAGCAATTTATCATACAGTCACATAAGTCCCTGCCTTTAAGGAGCTTACAATTTAAGACTGGAGCCAATTAACCTACCAGCATGTCTTTAGTGTGTGCGCAAGAACAAGCATAGGGAGAACATGCAAACTCCATTCATTTTTAACCAAGGACCCTAGAGCTGTAAAAATTAAGTGCTAACCACTAGTCATGTTCACCAGCAAAAAAATTGTTTAGTTTAGTTTAGTTTTTATTCGGATTTTGCATATTTCTTTTTTCGGATTCGGGTCCGCAATTGAATTAGTTGCGGGATTAGGATTTAGACGAAATTCGTTAGCAGTAGTTGTTTTTCGGATTCGGGTCCGCAATTTAATTTGTTTCGGGATTCGGACGAAATTCGTTAGCGGTAGGCCGGTCGAAATTTCGTTTATTGGATGAAATTTCGTTAGCAGCAAAGTGACATTAGATTTTTTTTTTCAGTCTGCAGAAGATGAAAAAAAAAAAAGCGTGACGTTCCCCCCCAATTCATACCAGACCCTTTAGGCCTGGTAGGAATGTTAGGAGGGACCCTCCCCCAAGTTAAAACAAAAAAAAAGTGCGTGGGGTGTCATATGAAAAGCATTAAAAAAAAAACATTATGACACCTCGGCTCACAGAAACTCACGAATAGCACTCGGGAGTTTCCCAATGCTATGTAGTATTTTACGGCTGAGAATGTCAATTGAGGCAGAGCGAG